AAATAGCAACTAAGTCTAAATGCATGAGAATAATTCAACATGAAGAGACATGAAATAACAACTTCAATTAAGAAGAACTCAACAAATAAGACACATGACAATAAGAGGGATAACAACATCAATTAAGGCATATAAGAGCATGTTGACAATAAGAGATAATGTGTGTGATAACAACATCAAGTAAATCATGTAAGAGCAATTTAACAATGGAATATATAACATGATATTATAATTTCCAATTAAATGCGTGAAAGAGCCTAAGAGTCTAAACCGGTCATATTACCACATATAAGCCATGTACACACTCGTAACCTCTTGTACACGTCTTTCATACAATCAAATAGGGCAATCAAACCCAAATCCCAAGGGGTAGTTCCCACACACAAAGTTAGGCAAGATACTTACCTCAACAAGACTAAATCAACCCTCGAAAATAGCTTTCCCCTAAAATTTGCCTCCACGCGGCTCAAATCTAACAAAAAATGACTCAATATAATCAAACAATACAAGAGAAACTAATTACAATAGATAGAGCTAAGATCTTAACATATTACCTAAAAAGTCCACAAAAGTCAATCCCAGGCTCGCCCGGTAAAAAACTAGGTCCAAGGGCGGATTTCGACTACCCATAACCCCACGAGTCCATATATGGATTTTATTTCATCCGAGTCCAAATCGACTCTCAAAACCCAAATTTCCATTTTCCAAAACTTTGATAAAAATCCCCAAATTTTCCTCTTTGATTCTCATTAATTTGATGTTAGATCTAAGATTTAATCATGAAATATAGTTGAAAATTGATTAGCATCACTTACCCAAAGTTAGTAGATGAAAATCCCCTCTCCAAATCGCCTCCTACCAAGTCTAAGTTCTGAAATGAGTGAAAATGATGTGAAATCCCAACTTTCAGCTATTTCGTTCAATTGCAGATGCCGCAATTGTGACACGGGGTTTGCAATTGCTAACCCTCGCAATTGCGAAGTAAACCTCGCAAATACGGCTACTGTCATCCTAACTCCTAAGGAAACTTCACAAATGCGACATTGGGATCGCAATTACGAACCTTGTTCCCATTGCAAATGCGACAAATTTTGTAGCAATTGCGACCTTACCCAAATCTGCTATGTCCGCAATTGCGAGTGATGCATCACAATTGCGATGCTTTCCCCTCACCTACTTACTTTGCAATTGCGAGGATGGTGGTTGCAATTGCGACATCAGAGCACCCTACACCAGAATTCTCGTTTCAATTCAAAAACATTCTGAAACGCGTCTGAAACTCATCTGAGTACTTGCAACTCCAAACCAAACATCTACACAAGTCTAAGAAATCATACGAATTCGTTCGCACGATCAAAACACAAAAATAGCACCTAGAACCACAAATCAGACACCAAAATGCATGAATTTCAAAGAAAATTTCAAGAATCTCTAGAATTGCAACCAAGCATCCGAATCATATCAAATAAACTCCAAATGACACCAAATTTTTCAAACAAGTTCCAAATAGCAAAATGGGCCTATTCCAAGTTCCAAATCCTAGCCAAAAGTCAACCTGCAATCAAACTTCTAAACCTCAAATTTCCAACTTTTGGCAAAACACATCAAATTATCCTAGAGAGACCCAAATTCGATTCCGAGCATACGCCCAAGTCCAAAATCATGATACGAACCTATTGGAGCCTTCAAAATACCATTCTGGGGTCATTTTCATAAATTTAAAGTTTGGTCAACACTTCCAACCTATGCTTCTAATCCATGAACCAAAGGGTCCAAATAAACTCAAAACCTTCCCGGAACAAAACCAACTAACCCCGCAAGTCATAAAACTACAATTACACATGTGTGAAGCATCAAAAGAAAAAATGGGGTGCAAATACACAAAATGACTGGTCAGCTCGTTACAGTGAAAAGAAAGATGAGACATACTTGACTGCTGTTTTATCTTGTTGGTTATGTAGTTTTGTGCTCCCTTCAAAAGAAGGCAACTTCATTCGTCCTGGGAACTTTAAGATCGTGTGTCATATGGCTTGTGGATAAAGAGTTAGCCTCGCATTCTCGGTCTTAGCTAGCATATTTAAGGTTTTAAACTTGATTTCAAAGTGCTCGTTGCTTGATCCTGCCCTAGCCTACTCTCCAGACCATTATGTGTTTGGTTGGTTAGATCATCATTACTTTAAGACTCATTTCCTGTATGCAAAGGGGATAATTATTCCTCGTATAGCCACATGTTCTAGTGAAGGTACTACAAGATATTTTGGGAAAGAGGAAGGAAGGAAGCATATCCATAACGGAGAAAATATTATTTGGACTTTGACGATGCCCCATAAATCTGATCTGTACCACTACTATGATGATGGTAAGGCACACGAGTTCGAGTTAAGTTTCTTTATGAATATTCGCACGAATTATCTTCCTTTAAGGGATGGAGTCAATTTTATTATTGAGCCGCCAATTTTATTCTTATCGAGATACCTCTGGTCACTTGGAGCGAGATTTTCATGAGGTCTCATTAAAAGAAAGGTTAAGAGTTGCATGAATTTATTTGTTGAATAGATCTAAGTCAAGGGCATTATTTCCTCTTTTTGGATCCAACATGAAGAAATTTTTATCGTCTAACTATAGATCTTGGTGGGCAAGGGCGCATGGAAGCTTTCTTGAAGATCACTTATAATTTTTGATGAATACTTTTGAGCCCATCACAAATACTCTTCAAGAGAACAACAAGGTTGTCCTAGTGATTGATAAGCTTAAAATATAAGGTAGTTGAGACGTGCACATGCAATGGACCTCAGCGATACAAATAAGTTTATAGAGAAAAGATTTATGCTTCAGTTCACAAAAGTCTCATTCCATTGGATGTAGTTGTTGATGCCTCCAATAAGCGACTCCCAAGAAGAGAGTGATAGCAGCAAATGAGATCAATGTTGGAAAAAGAAAGTCCTAACCCAGAAGGAGCTGTAGAGTTTCAAAGCGTTGATAGCCCTTCAAGAACACAGACAGCTTGTAATGAGAAGGTAAAAGAAAATATAAACTTTTCATTGTCGAACCACAGCCAAATGATTTTGCTAAAATTTTCTTCTATTTTTTCTTTTTTTGTAGCCAAATAACTTTGGAGCATTGCAACAAGGAACGCCACAGGATAGTGGTGAGTCTATAGTAGGACCAGACTGTAGAAATCATCTTCTACAGGTAAGGCAGATAAAGAGGCAACTTCTATTTCTCGTGATGGAATTAGGGCAAAGTTGGGCTCTGATTTGCTTGAACAACCAATAGTTTCAACGTCCGGTTTTGATGGAAAAAAGGTTGTCTTAGCTATTCGAAAGGAGTTTATCTTGAAGCTTTGGACTTTGATCCAGCATAAGCTGAAAGGTAGTGATGCAGACAAGGTCTCTGAGCTTGAAGAGAATACTAAAGCGGTCCTTGCGGTAATGGATGGGGATGACGTGGATATTTCCCCTTTGAGAAACTTAATGAAGTCCCTTTTTGAGCTTGCTGCTTCATATGACAAGACACGATCTGCTTTATCCAAAAAGGTTTAGGGGACTGCAAAATTAGAAGTTGAGGTACACCTTACAAATTCGATGATTGAAGAAGAAGAGAAGGCTAGAGAAGTGTCATTTATTTGTCAGTCCCTAGTTACAGTGAAAGAGAAGATAGAGAAGCTCCATGAAAAAGAGAAGAACTTAGAAACCCTTCTAGAGTTGTTGAGAAAGAAGTTGAAGAAGTCAAGTTAGGAACCCCAATTGCTATAAAGGAGTATGACACATGTTGCAATGTTGCCTTGTTGACTACTGATGACTTTGCCAATTTGGAGAAGAAGAATGAATACTTGGAAGCTATCAAGGATTTGGCCAACTACATGTTGTGTTTAGATTAGGCTATAAACACTGGTTTATTTGTTTTCCCCTTTCTTTCTCATTTGATTTATTAGTAGATTCAACAGCAATAATTTTTTTTCGTTTCACCTTATATTTCTCATTCTCATTAATGGCTTTTGTTATTGCCTTCTTTTTAATTTATGTGCTTCAATGATCAGGACTTAGTAGTTTATCCACATATTATAAAGAAAGACCTCACTTTTCTTTTTATTAAGGTTATTGAAGTTAGAATAAAACTCTAAGATGCATATGTACCTCGGTGAAGAGGATCAAGTCATTACGTAGTTCATAACAAGTGAGCTTTTAAAATATTTTATGGATTTGAAGACTTAAAGTACTTGAAGAGTGCAAATTTAAGATCTAGCAGGCTTGATTACTTCAAATTGATGATGTAACGGACTTGCCAAAATCAACTTGACTTAGACTTGGAGACTTCAACTTGAAGATTTAGCCTTTTACTAAAAGACTACACTCATTTCATCAAAGACCTCGATTTGACATGGAGGGCTTGCCCACGTTGAGCCATCAATATCTGATAAGATAGAGAATTCAACAAAAGAATACATGTACACCTAATTTTCAAGTGTCAATCAAGTGAATTATATTACATCTTACTTAATTCTGATAATGCCTTAGGTAATATGTATTTTGAATTCATATGACTGAACTTAGAATGAAGCTCTAAGCTACCTACGCACCTCGATGAAGAGGATCAAGTCATACCATAGTTTGAAATGGGTGAGTTATTTTTAAATGTCCTAACTTTTGCCTAGGCGGCCTCTTTCGAGGTTTTCAACCTAGCAAACCTTTTGTTTTGGACCGTGCACAATTTATATTGTTACAGGCCAGGAGTAACATGCAATTTATGCTCATGCATTAAGGAGCATATTTGTTCTTCACGGGTAGTATCTCTTCATGAATTTCCCATTTATGGGGCCAATGCGCAAACCTTCTAAGTCAACTGTCTTGTAAGCGCCAATTAAGTATACCTCTTGTACAACATATGGTCCATCCCACTTAGCAGAGAATTTTTCTCCAGATCGACGAGATGTAAGAATAGGCCTTTTCACCACAAGAACTTGGTCACCCACTTGGAAAGATCTAAGGCGCACCCTTTTGTCATACGATCGAGATAGGCGAGTTATTATGAGATTCTAGCCTCTTTTCATCAAGAGCTTCCACTTCTTCAAGGCGTAACTGGGCATTTTCTTCATCAGTGATTCCTTCTTGAATGGCAAGCTGCAACGATGGGATTTGACGCTCAAGTGGAAGGACTGTTTCAACTCCATAAACAAGTGAATAAGGGGTCGCTTGCGTTGGCGTGCGATATGTGGTCCTATATGCCCAAAGAGCTTCTTCCATTATCTCATGCCAATCTCTTTTAGACTTAGAGAAAACCTTTTTCAAAAAGTTGTATAGCGTCTTGTTAAATGCTTCGGCAAGTTTATTTGCAGCAGCATAATACATAGAGGAATTTCGTTGCTTGAAGCCCAAAAGATCACATATTTTATTCATCAACTTGTTATCAAATGGCTTACCATTGTCCGTCAATAAATGTCGAGGAATGCCAAAACGATAGATAATATTGACTCGGATGAAGTTAGCCACATTTTCCTTCTTTACTTTCTTAAGGGAAACAACTTCAATCCATTTCGAGAAGTAATCATTTGCTGCCAAAATGTATAAATATCCACCAGAAGACTTTTACAATGGACCAACAACATCCAAACCCCAAGCATCAAATGGCCAAGAGGCAGCAGTTGGGTGCAACACTTCAGGTGGTTGATTGTCACAACCCAAATCCTAACTTATAGTGATGACTCCTATGACATTACTAGGAAAGCAGACAATCACATAATAACTATGCATTCTAAATTAAAGACATGATTTAACAGGTTTAATAATGGAAAATCTCGTAGATAACTGATTAAAACAACTAAAACTCAATGACAACAAAACCTAAAATCCTAGTGTCACCGAGTACATGAGCTACTCAACACAGTCTAAATCTTTAATACAACTGTTTTGAAAATAGAATAGTACTAAATAAACTAAAATGAAGGAGAGTGGAAGTTTGCGAGCATCGAAGCAGCTTCCTCGATGGTCTCCAAGCAGATACTGCACCAAATCTAGCAATCGTCTTGTCTAGATGTACCTATATCTGCACACGAAGTGCACTGTATGAGTACAACTGACCCAATGTACTCAATAAGTATAGGACTAACCTTGGGCTAAAAGCAGTGAAGAGCTCGGAAAGTTACAGTATGAATCCCGATAATGACAGTACAGATATAACAGCGAAATGACTGTAATAATTTAGAGAAATTTCCATAATCAGTGTGTACACAGTACAGAAATGTATACATGCTTTCAAGTTCGACAATTTAATATAAATACTGATAAAATATGCCAAGTATAGCAAGCATGAGGAATGTTACATCTCTAAGTCTACATGTCAAATATTCATGTCACATGTAATGCATCGCAGTGATAAACTCATGTACTCACGCTCAGAGAGTACTCCATCTCACTGAGCATACTTAATCACTCAGCACATACAATCACTTAGCACACACAATCACGCAGCACTGTACGGTACCTGCGCTCACTGGTAGTATGTCTAAATCCGAAGCGGCAGATCCTGCCCAAGCACTAATATGATACAATATACATGCTGCGACGTGCAACCCGATCCCATAATGAGTCGATAAAGCTTGTTGCGATGTGCAGCCCGATCCCATAAACAGGTGTTGTGGCATACAGCCCGATCCTATAAAAGTCACTCACAATTCGGCTCTCAAGACCCAACTCAATCATTAATATCTCCATACTCTCGAGCTTAAAAATCCCATAGGAATCAGCCCAAACAATGATAGCATGATATAACAATAAATGATAACAAAGACTAAGATATGATATGCAATGAATAAATATGACTAAGCACATAATTGCAACTTAAGCAAATAACTCAATGAATAAACATGACTGAGCATATAATTACAACTTAAGCAAATAACTCAACAGTAGAAATGACCTCAGTGGGTCCCAACCGAATAAGCACATAGACCTAATATGATTTCTAACATGGATCACAGCTCAATTACTTTAACATATAGGAATTACACGAATAGAAATAAGACTAGATAACTACACAGTACCATAGAATAATCCGAGCCATAATTACCACGGTGTACGCCCACACGCCCGTCTCCTAGCATGTGCGCCACCTAAACACCAACCACACAACACGTATTTCAGGGATTCATACGCTCAGTACCAAGTTTAGAAGTGTTACTTACCTCAAAGTGCGCAACTCATTGCTTTAACAAACCCTTGCCTCGTGAATCAGCTTCCGAACAACTCGAATCTAGTCATAAACAACTTAATATAATCAATACAAGCTATAGGAATTGATCCTACACGATAAAGCTAAGTTCTTTAACCAAATTCAAAAAGTCAACCCAAAAAATCAACACCGAGCCCATGCCTCGGAACCTGATAAAATTTACAAAATTCGAACACCCATTCAATAACGAGTCCAACCATACCAGAATCATCCAATTCCGTCCATAAATCGACCTTAAAACCCCCAATCTCACTCTCCAATTCCTAGTCCAAAATCCCCCAAATTTCACCTCAAAAACACATAATCTAGGTGTTGAAATCCATGGGTATTCAATATTATTGGAAAAAAGTGATCAAAAATAGCTTATCTTTTGATTTGTAGCGAAACCCCTCTAAAAAATTACCACTAGCCAAACTTGCAAAGTCCAAAAATGAGAGAATCATCAAAACCCCTGATTTTATCTTCTGTCCAGGCATCTGACACCTGCGGTTCACTTAGCCGCTTCTGCGGTCCCGCAGTTACGATCCAACGTCAGCTTCTGCGGTTTCCCTTCAGGCCCCTTACCTTCGCATATGCGAACAAGCCTCTGCTCCTGTGGAGACGCACCTCTGTCCAAGACCCCGCTTCTGCAGAAAGCTGGTGCCCCGCATAATCCACTTATGAGACCTTTTTCCCGCATCTGCGAGCTCTCAGGTACGGAACCTTTCTCGCACCTGAACAACGCCCGAACTCACCCAAAACCGCTTCTACGACCCCCTTGGCCGATTCTGCGGCTCTGCACCTGCGGCCCATTTCACGCCAGTGCGGTGGCACCATAATTGAACACGCCAGCAATTTCACACGTCCCAAATTCAATCCAATTTCAACCTGAATCACACCCGAGGCCCCCGGGACCCCACCCAAATATACCAACCCATCCCAAAACCTCATATGAAGTTAGTTGAGGCTTCAAACCACATTAAATAATATCAAAAACATGAATCGCACACCAATTCAAGCCTATTGAAACTAATGGATTCCCAACTTCTATAATCGATGTTGAAACCTATCAAAACATCTCCGATTGACCTCAAATTTTGCACACAATTCATAAATGAAACAACGGACCTATTCTAACTTCCAGAACCATGATCCAAGCCCAATATCAACAAAGTCAACTCTCGGTCAAACTTCTCAACTCTTTAAACCTTTAACTTTCCAACTTTCGCCAATTCAAGCCAAAACCACCTACAAACCTCCAAATCAATATCCGGACACACTCCTAAGTCCAAAATAATCATAAGGAGCTATTGGAACCATCAAAACTTCATTCCAGAGTCGTTTACTCAGAAGTCAATATCCGATCAACTTTTTTAACTCAAGCTTCCAACCTTAGGACTAAGTGTCCCAATTCATTCTGAAGCATCCCCAGAACCAAAGCAACCACTGCGGCAAGTCACATAACCAAATTGAACATAGAACAAGCAATAAATGGGAGAACGGGGCTACAATACTCAAAATGACCATCCGGATCATTATATTCTCCCCCTCTTAAACAAACGTTGTCCTCGAATGGGTCTAGAATCATACCTGGAGTTTCAAATAGTTATGGATAGTTGCTCCGCATCCCCCACTCAGCCTCCTAAGAAGACTCTTCGATTGGCTGACCTCTCCATTGTAGTTTCACCGAAGATATATTCTTTGATCTCAACTTTCGAAATTGTCGATCAAAAATGGCCACCGACACAACATAATAAGTCAAATCTCTGTCTAACTAAATCGTGCTAAAATCCAAAACACAAGACGAATCATCGTAATACTTCCGGAGAATGTAAACATGAAACATTGGGTGAACACTCGATAAACAAGGTGGCAGTGCAAACTTGTAGGCCACCTCTCCAATCCTCTCAAACACCTCAAAAGGGCCAATATACCGAGGGCTCAACTTGCCCTTCTTCCCGAACCTCATAACATCCTTCATGGGTGAAACTCTAAGTAATACCTTCTCTTCCACCATGTAGGGAACATCACGAACCTTCCGATTGGCATAAATCTTCAGTCTAGATTGTGCCATGCGAAGCCGATCCTGAATCAACTTGACCTTTTCCAAGGCATCCTGAACCAGATCGGTGCCCAACAGCCTAGCCTCCACCGGATCAAACCACAGAACTGGAGATCGACACGCCTCCCATATAAGGCCTCATATGGAGCCATCTGAATACTCGATTGGTAGCTGTTATAGTAGCCAAACTCTACAAGTGGTAGAAACGAATCCCAAGAACCCCCGAAATCAATGACACAAGTGCGTAGCAGATCCTCCAATATCTGAATGGTGAGCTCAGACTGTCCGTCCACCTGAGGGTAAAATGTTGTACTCAACTAAACCCGTGTGTCTAACTCTCATTGCACTACTCTCCAAAATTGCAATGTGAACTACGTGCCTCGATCGGAAATAATGGACACTGACACACCGTGAAGATGAGCAATCTCGCGAATATAGATCTCAGCCAACCGCTCTAAAGAATAGGTAGTTGTGGGAGTCCAACAACGAAGTCCATGGTGATACGCTTCCATTTCAACTCAGGAATCTCAAGCCTCTGAAGCAAACCGCCCGGTCTATGATGCTCATACTTCACCTACTGATAGTTGAAGCACCAAGCTACAAACTCCACTATATCTTTCTTCATTCTCCTCCACCAATAGTGCTGCCTCAAGTCCTGATACATCTTTGCGGCACCCGGATGAATGGAATACCACGAAATGTGGGCCTCCTCAAGAATAAACTTACATAACTCATCCACATTGGGCACACAAATCCAACCCTACATCTGTAACACCTCATCAACTCCAATAGAAACCTCATTGGCATCACCGTGTTGAACTGTGTCCTTATGGATAAGAAAACGGGGGTCGTCATACTGACACTCTATGATGCGATCATATAAAGAAGATCGAGAAACAGCCAAAGCTAAAATCCGACTAGGCTCTGAAACATCTAACCTTACAAACTGATTGGACAAAGCCTGAACATCTTATGCAAGCGGTCTCTCACTAACAGGGATATATGCAAGGCTATCCATACTTATCGCCTTTCTATTCAAGGCATCAGCCATCATATTGGCCTTCCCAAGATGATACAAAATGGTAATATCATAGTCTTTTAACAGCTCCAACCACCTCTGTTGCCTCAAATTTAGATCCTTTTTCTTGAACAAGTGATGCAGACTCCGATGATCTGTAAATACCTCACAAGCCACGCCGTAGAGATAATGCCTCCAAACCTTCGATGCATGGACAATGGCTACCAACTCTAAATCATGAACGGGGTAGTTCTTCTCATGGGGATTCAACTAGCGTGAAGCATAAGCAATTACTCTACCCAACTACATCAAGACACACCTAATAACAATCCAAAAGCATCACATTACACTGTATATGAACCCAATGCTGAAGACAAACACCCCTTCACAACCATCCATTGGGCCTTTATATATGAAATCATCTACTAGGAACATAGTCTAGAGAACCTCTCCACTCGATCCTAGGCAACCCCAGCATCACCAGTCACGGTCTTAGCATGATATGGGGACAACCAATTTATGCCCAGAATCACGTCAAAATCAATCATACTAAGCAATAAAAGATCAAATCTCATCTCCAATCCCCCAATGGTCACCAAACATGACTGATACACACGGTCCACAATAATAAAATCACCCAGCGATGTAGATATATGCACAAGCATAACTAAAGGCTCACAGGGCATATCCAAATAAAGAGCAAAATACGATGATACATATGAATAAGTGGAACTAGGGTCAAATAATATGTAAGTATCCCTGTGGTACACTGAAACAATACCTGTGATCACTGCGTTTGAAACAACAACCTCTGGTCTAGCGGGAAAAGCATAGCATCGAGCCTGATTGCCACATGATCTGCCTCCCCCTCTAGGGCGACCTCTAGCTACCTGAGCCCCACCCCGAGCTGGCCGAGCGAGTGGTGAAGTAACTGGTGCGGAAGTCATAACCTGACCCCTTTGCTGAACTATCTAAACTCCCCGTACTCGAAGCAACTCCGATTCGTCAATGGCGATGGAGATTGAATCGGACCCCGAGAACCAGAATAACTACTTGAAGGACCTGGTGCAGATGAACCCGAAGATGATAGAGCACGGGATGAACTCTGAGCTGGAAGGGGACTGAGAGATGATTGACCCAAACGAGCACTGTATGAACTATGGCTAGCTGATGCACCATGATAAACCGGACAAGCCATCTGAGCAGGTCTATAAGGACGACCCCTGTTGTGGTGGGATTGTCCTCCAGATGAGGCACTGCTGAAACTACCCGAACCACGAGGCCTCTTGGCCTCCCTCTCCTCATGCTCCTAGATATAAAGCTACTTTAGACGCCTATCAATATCAACCATCTCGTCGAACCTAGCACCTGATGCAATCTTCGGAGTCATGACGAAGTGCAGTCCATAGTTGAGGTCATCAATGAACCTCCTAATCCTCTTCTTCTCTGTGGGAACCAACCAAATCGTGTGACGAGCCAATTCTGAAAATCTCATCTCATACTGGGTCACTAACATACCCTCTTGGCATAGCTGCTCAAATAGCCTACACAACTCCTCTCTACGGATCTGTGGAACAAACTTCTCTAAAAATAGAACTGAGGGCTCATGCCACGTAAGTGGTGCAGCGCTGGCCGGCCTGCTAAACTCATAGGCCTCCCACCATTTGAATGTTGCCCTGACAGCTGAAAAGTAGTAAATGAAACTCCACTAGTCTCCATTATACCCTTCGTGCGAAGGATCCGCTAACACCTGTCTAAGAAATCCAGAGAATGCTCTAACTCAACCCCACTATACGCTGGACGCTTGAGCCTTCAAACCGCTCTAGCCTCTTCTGCTCCTTGTCACTAATAGGTGGACCAACCTGGGCCTAAGGAGCTGCATCCGGCTGGGATGGTAGTACCACTGGTGTTTGAAGCTCCTAAACTACCTGCTCTAGAGTATGGGCGGCGAGAGTCTGAGTACCTACCCCTGCCTGAGAAGTGGCTGGTGCAGCCTGAATTGAAACCGCCTGAGCAAGGCTAGTGCATACAGTCAATATCTGGGCTAGAGCCTCCTGAAGGCCTGGAATCACAATAGGCACAGTTGGTGCCTGAGCTGGTCCAACCGGCTCAACCACATCTAGCATTTGCTCCAGAGATGGAGCAACTAGTGGCTCCACAGGTGCTGCTCTATCTGCTCTACCATGGCCCCAGCCTCTCATGGCCATAGCTGGCGGTACCAGTGGTCATCCGCCGCCCGATCCGGTCGCGCGTGTCCTCACCATTGTGAGAGAATAGAAAATACAAGTTTAGTTTTCGGAATCACCAAATTTGCACGACAAGAATACATGAAAGTGAAGTTTCCTAATGGTTTGATAGCCTCTCGAGGATAAGTAAAGACGTCTCCGTACCAATCTGCAAAACTCTACTAAATAAGC